AATTGGTGGTCTCTTCTTTAAACGGCTGCATTTTTCAGAAAATATTTTTTCTCAACGCTCGCTATCAGAACATTAAAAAAAACAACAACATGGTTTGATGCAGAATCTGGTTGCAACTACAGTTATCCTCGACTGCAGCCGAGCTTGGAATTTCCACTGCTAAGCAAGACAGTTGTTAAGAGAGGGTTGGCCCTTGTTACGATCTTTGTGCCTCAGTTGTTAAGTGAAACACTGCAGTCCTTAAGCGAATCACATGGTTGTGGAGTGATCATGTCACTATGGGAATGTTGCAACGATAGTAAGTGTGAGAACCGGTTATAAGTCACTTTTTCCCCCCACTGCTATTGTAATTTTGAACAGTCACTAAACTAACGTATTTCTCTCTCTGGCACAGTGAGAATATATCTGCTGAACAAAACTCTGCTCTGGCAACAGGAAAGGAATCCGGCCATGAAAATACTCTGCTAGCTCCATTCAGTTGCCCAGACTCTAATTGTAAGCCGAGGACCAAACAAAACTAAAGCAAACTAAAACACACACTCCTGCGGCCTTGCTCTGCCTATTTTTTTCCCAAGCAAAGCTGCATTCCTGATGCAACAGACTCAACTTTTAGTAAGAAAAAAAATGCTCATCCTTTCCAGGAAACTTACTGACCCCCCCTCAGAAAAAAAAAAGGAGGAGGGAGAGGAATCCAAAGCTACTTTCAGGCAAAACTCCGCTGTGTTTTCTCTATCGACAATGTAGGTCAGTTGAAGAGAGGCAGCTGAAAGGAATATCTTGAAAGAGAAGTACAGAACTGCCAGAAAGCAGAAATAAAAGGCAGAGAAAATCAGAGAGACAGAAGCTCCACTCCATCTGTAAATATCAAAAGAGAAACAGCTGAAAGGAAAGCAGAGTTTCTATAATGGGAGCATGAAGGGTGCAAACCAATCCTGGCTGCCTATTTTAGCTCTCATATTAAAGCTCTATATGGCCAGACAGAAGCACAGCTGTAAATAAACCGGGGTTTACCCACGTGAGCTGGATTACCAAAACATCTCTGCATGTCAGCGCCCCTGTGCCCATTTTCTGATCTTCTCCCTCTTCTCTCTCAGAAACTCAAGTTTGCAAACTCCAGGCAGTCCTTGACTTACAACAGTTCACTGAGCGACCGTTCTCTTTCCGCCTGGAAAGAAGTGACTTTGGGCCATTTTTCACACCTACGACCGTCGCACCATTCCCCTGTGGTCACGTGATTTACATTCGGATGCTCGATAACTGACTCGTATTTACCAGTCTTGGCGGGGTGGTGGTGGTCTCGTGATCCCCTTTTGCAACTTTCTGGCAAGCAAAGTCCGTGAGGAAGCCAGATTCACTTAACAACCGGGTTACTAACTTATCAGCTGCAGAGGTTCACTTAACCACGGGGGCAAGAAAGGTCATGAAATGGGGCAAAGCTCCCTGAACAGCAGTCCCACTTAGCAGTGGAAATTTGGCCTGAATTTTGGTCGTAAGTCAAGCACAACCTGTACAAAATCCCACCTCTTCGCTCCTGCCTTTCCTGGGGCCGAGAAAAGAACGGGAAGAAGTTCTCACCTGTTGCCTGCTAAGATTCAAGAAATGTATTTCATGGCACCTGTAATTACAACTGAAAAGGTCACACCACTGTTTCTTTAGTTAATGAGACTAATTTTTCTTCACTGGCTATTTTTAGAGTGAATTCTTTTTTTTTACTTGCTTAGATTTTAACTGGAAAAGAATGGCCACACCTGGAGGCAAATTCAATTAATGGCTGACGCTGCATACATTTAATTTTCTTTTGGTTAATTAATTCACTTCCTAGCACCAGCCATCCTTCTCTACCAATGCACAGCCTGTGTTAAGTACAGTCAGCTTCTAATAATGTTCTTTTTATCTATATATCTCAAAGCAAAATGCCACTCACGCATCATCACAAAATCTCCAGAACCGTAAAACCTACAAACTTGAAATTGGGCATGTATGCTCCCCTTGGCTTCTAGGTGCTCACTAAGGAAGGATTTTTCAAAATTACCATCACAGCATCAGTATTTCAAATATTATTATTAACATGCTCTGATGCTAAGGAGTTCTACTCCCCCTCCCCACCTGAAAAGAAATCTGTTCCAAATGCAAAATACAAGCAGAGGAGAGACATTTCAGTTTCAGTTTCAGAGCACAGAGCAGCTTTAGTACAGAACAGTTAAGCTAAGCCACACCCAGTTTCCTTGCTGTCTCCTTCTTGCTCACACAGCAAATACTATTTCAGTTTCTAAACAGCCCTCAACTCTCTCACACATTGGAAGTACGCTAGCCAGATACCGATGGATGCTGGTAGGCAGAGGCAGAGTCCCCCCCCTTATTTTCCTCCCCAAAAACTAAGCCTGAATATTTAACTTGAATATATCATCTTCCATTAATCAGTGTGTCATCTGTGTACAAATGTCTCTGTGCTATTACAATCAAAATTTACTATATTCATTACATTGATAATACTTCTCTAATCTTACAATAATAATAATCATCAGCATTATAATTCTATTCATTTCTCCCTCTTAACATATCTTCAGCTTGTAATAATAATGTTCTGAGGGGCTGGGCATGAAAGCATATTTATTTTTACCTCCTTTGAAAACTGGAACTGATATATATAATTTTTTTTTTGGTACAATGGAATTGGTTGATTACATTGCAGTTTTAAGTCTTTATAGGGTGTTTTCTTTAAACAGTGACATGGGGGGATTTCATTGCTGTTTTCAGGGAAGGGACACTCTGCATGCCCTCTCTTTCCTTCTGGAGTTAACAATGCAGAAACGGTAATACATCTTCGTTCAGGAACACTTTTATATTATTTTATATTATTCCATAAGGATCAAGTTACGTGATTGCCCCAAATAAGTCGCTTTAAGTGGGCTGTCATACAAGTTGAATTAATTGAACACATTAATTTGTAACAAATTGAATTGATTAAACATACAAAGAAATGCAGTCATGTTCTTTTGTCCTTCTCATGGACTTAATTCCTCCCAACTTTCCATAAAAATTAACTTGTCAGGTATCCAAATTGGGCAAACTCTAGTTTCCATAAACCATTTGCTTATACACAGATGTTGCATGCAGTGTATTTTGGTGATTGGCCTTGACTAAATATTAGGGACACTGTGGGGGTGAGATAACAGATAATCAGAGTTGGAAGGGACCTTATAGGTCATCTAATCCAGCCCCCCACCCAAGCGGGAGACCCTACATCATTTCTGACAAACGGCAGTCCAGTCTCTTCCTGAAAGTCTCAAGTGATGGCGCTCCCACAACTTCTGAGGGCAACTTCTGTTCCATTGGTTGATTGTTCTCACTGTCCATGGTGCTCTCTGAGCTTGGTGGCTTTCTTGCAGATGTTTCATTACCAAACTAGGTAACATCATCAGTGCACTGTGCACCACAATTCAGTCCTGAGCTACAAATATTCTCTTCTATAAAGGAACATTTTGGAAAACCTACATGATTGGCTTAAGCTGTCCAACCCTGTTATTGCCAAAGGTGCCGATGGAAACATGACAAAAAGACACTTTGGTGTTCAAGATTCCCACAGACTCAGAGCTGATCATCTACAGATGATGTAAGGGTGAGCAATTGGGGTTTATCATGATGTCATTGTGCAAGGGAGTGGTGCGGTGGGCTAGAGCTCTCGCCTCACAATCAGGAGGCTATGAGTTCAATCCTAGATAGAGGCAAATATTTCTCTCTCTGGGCACAGTGAGAATGTATCTGCTGAACAAAACTCCGCATTGGTGACAGGAAAGGCATCTGGCCAGTAAACACTCTGCTAGCTCCATTCAGTTGCCCAGACTGCAGTCCGCAAGGGATTATGGGGTCGTTAAAAGTTGTTGATGATGATGATGATGCCATTGTACAAATGACACAAATTATGTATGTGATGTTATTGTGGGCTGTACGAATGTCTACGAAACTAGGAGTTAATCCTGAAACAGATTTGTTTTGTGTTCCTCTAGTGGAGAGGCTAAAACCAACAAATAGGATTTAATAGAAGGTAGTGTTCATCTAATCCTCTTTCTAAAGATCTTAGAAATATCTCATTATTCTAAAGACATCTAAACGACTAGCCTTCTCCACCTCAAATGTATCCTTAAATTGTCATTTAATGACTAAATATTCCCATATGGAAAGCATTGCATTGTTTACGTTTGAATGAGATGCGAAGTCTGAGAAACAGTTTGATTTCCCCAGTTATAAGCGGACTCTACTTTTACACAGCACGAGTCTTCTTTTCCTCTCCCTCCACCTCCCTTTAGGGACAACAGAGCCGATATCACAGAATCTATCTTTTAAGGAAGAAAATTGATACTATATTTAGAGGCTCCGATATTGGAAAAGTCATTATGATTCTGTCAAAATGAGCCCCTCTCCAAGTGAGTTTGTTTGCTGGGCTACTGACAAACATGATGATTTCCATCAAGTTTCATATTGCAGCTCTTGATTCAAATGAAAATTTACTCCAACTTAAAATATAAACCCCAGAGAAATAAATTTGGACTGTACAAAACAATAATACCTACTGCCATGAAAGTTTCATGCATTTCAGGGCCAGTTAAATAATATATATTAGTTGGGCTAATATTAACCACTGCTACTATGTATTTTGAAGTGATTTTTCAATTCCCCATGTCTACCCTACACATCTGCCTCGTCCTACCCATAACTGAGATTCCATAGAACATTGATGTCATTTCCTAGCTGTTGATAATTAGTATTTCAGAAATGTATAGCTTTAGGAATGGCTAGCTAGTATATAGAGACGTTCATAACTGATGTTTATTTAATGATATTGACTAACCTTTTAAAAGAGAAGGTATGAGATTCAACCATCTGAGAAATAAAACTTTTTTTTTCTAAGGTTCTCATTAATTTTATCTCTGCTTTAGTTCTGATTCAGGTTTAAACCAACCAACCTCTTGTCTTTTGTGCATTTCAAAATAAAGAGTTACCTCTTTCTTGGTGAATTCTGGTGCATGGTCATTTTTATCATCAATGACGATTGTTGCAGTGGTGGTCCCAGTCAACCCAACTTCATGTCCAGCCATGTCCTTTGCTTCTATGATGAGCTCATATTTTGGATTGTCCAATGTCTGAAGAGATGAAGAAAGAAGACAATTTACTCCAAGAATGAGACATCCATTCTACTTGTGATATCTCCATTGTTATGCTAGATAGAACCTAGATAGGGTTTAGATAGAACCAGTCTGGAATTGGTCTCCAGGTAAGGTGTAACCACATAAACCATCAATGTTTGAGAAAATGGAAAAAAACAGCATGCTTGTTACCAAAACTGGCAAATCTCAACAATAAATACTTTGATCATTTGGTTTAGCTCTTGATGGAAACAATATATACTTTCAGCCTACAGCAATACAGCAACACATATTAACAAAGCATGTGAATTGTTAGAAACAATCATATACATATGGCTTCTGACCAGGGCCAGAAGGTACAAGCCCTAGTCAGAATAGGTAAGAGGAAGAAACAGCTGGTGAGAATGATAGTGTCTCCTGGAATAGAGATATATTATAATAAATAGAGCAATATTTTGATTTCTTTTCCAAGAAACTGAGCTAAAGATATTTAAGAAGGAGAAGTCCCCTGTTTGTTGAGTGTAACTTCTGAACATCCATCTGTTGGGAGACTTCATCAACTCTATTGCTCAATGGGGAACAGAGATAGCAAAGATTAGGTTACAATTTCTATTTTCTTTTAAATAGGTATGCTAAACTATTACATTCCCAGCGATGTTTATTGCAAGATATTAGAACAGCAAGACAACAACTATGATGCAGTGGTTAAGGCCCCAAGGCAGAAACTGAGAGACTGCGCTCTAGTTCCACCTTGGGCATAAAGCCAGCTGGGTAACATTAATCCACTCAACTCTCTCTCATCACTAGGAAGGAGGCAAGGACAAAACAATTCCAAAAATATTTCCACAAATATTCCCTAATCCCAAAGTAAAATAAAATCAGAACATTTTAGAGAGGGTGCATCCAAACAAATTTCATTAAAACAAGGTCCTAGAAATCTATCGATATCCACCTATCCATCCATCCATCTATCACCACCTATTATCTATCTATCTATCTATCTATCTATCTATCTATCTATCTATCTATCTATCTATCTATCTATCTGTCTATCTGTCTATCCAACTCTCCATCCATCCATCCATCCATCCATCCATCCATCCCTTTCAAGGCAATCTTGACTTCTGGCAACTGGGTTGAAATCTAACCATCTTTAAAATTGGGAAGATTGAGTAACCATGGTTTACAGGGATTTCTCTAAATGGAGAAGAGGAAGAATCCGTAGGTCAGCCTTCTGGCAACACAACCATGAAAGCTGATTTCACAATTGCAGAAATTAAACGTAATACAGTACAAATTTTGAAACACCAAAAGTTTTAGTACAGGAAAACGTTGCAAATAGGTTACATATTTCTCCTATCCTCTTTGTTTGTTTGTTTGTTTGATTTTGTTGAGACCATCACTAATTCTAGCCCTGCAGCCAGCTAAATGACAACAAGCAAATTTATGGGATAATTAAAGGTTTCTCTGTTGTAATTATACGAGTTCCTTTGACAGTGCTGTGTTTGGATGGAGCTGGAGCTGATAAATGAGCCATCAGATGAATCGTGATTTAATGCCTGATCATTAAGGTTATTATCCCTCCTCAGCTTTGTTTATAGTGGATGGGTTATCTAGGATAGGGGAAAATAAGACAGCCTAATCTTTGCTCTTGACGATGCCATCAAAAGCAAAATAAATTAATTCCAAAAGATATCAACTCTTGCTCAGAAATTAGCGGCCTCACTTTGAATTGATTTCTTCTTCCTTATGGGATATTACCACATCACCAAATGTTAGATCTTCTAGTCCTGAGGTTAGGCTTTGGGCCTTTTTTGCTTGCTTGCTCTTTCAGGACCATTTTATTATTTTTCAACTTGGTTGCTGCAAAATCCACAGGTAGCTACTGAAAGAGGACATCACCCTTCGAAGAGAAGGACTAGGGGAGACATGCTAGTAGTGTTCCAATATTTGAGGGGCTGCCACAGAGAGGAAGGAGTCAAGCTATTCTCCAAAGCACCTGAAGGCCAGACAAGGTATAATGGATGGAAGCTAAACAAGGAGAGATTCAACCTGGAAATAAGGAGAAACTTTCTGACAGTGACAACAATCAACAGAAGTTGACCTTAGAAGTTGTGGGAGCTTCATCACCTGAGACTTTCAAGAAGAGATTGGATTGCCATCTGTCAGAAATGGTGTAGGGTCTCCTGGTTGGGTGGGGGGTTGGACTAGATGACCTACAAGGTCCCTTCCAATTCTGACCAACCATTGGCTATGAAAAGCGGCGTGCAGAGCTGAACTCCCAGCATTCTTAGCAACTCAAGCTAAACTAGAGAACTCTGGCAATCACCTGTAGTTCCATTTGTAAACTGCTAAGAGTCATTTAGCAGGATGGCCCAAGGCATGTAGGACATTAAAAGCTTCCTAGATATTCCACCAAAATGTTTCTTCTCCCTGAACACCGCCCCCCCCCGACAAATCATAATGTTTAGAGTAGTGTGGAATATAAAAAAATTGCAATAGCAGCTTCAATCTTCACGGAAACGAAAACACCTTGAAGTTATATGCCCTGCAACATTCATTTTTGAAGGGTAGAAAAAGCCAACCCCAAAATGTAAGAGGGTATTGCAAAATGTTTTACAGCTTACAGCACTAATTTTCAAAATCACCTCTGTGATTTTATCCACTAAAAGATGGAAGTGCCAGGAAATTTTCAGTAATAGCATTTTCTGGGCATTTTGATCACTGGTGTTAATTTGCAAATCAAATCAGCCATGGAGGTAATACATTTCTACCTCGACCTTTATAATATTACTTTCTGGCGTGGCTGGAAAAAAGTTTTTCCCCTTGAAGGAGAAGGAATCTGAATGTTCACCCCTTAAACCTTTTTTTTTTTTTTTTGCATGCCTGCATATATTTTTAACTACAACTTACCTCAGCTTACAACAATTCATTCAGTGGCCGTTCAAGGTTACAACAGTACTGAAAAAATGCGACTTATGACCATTTTTTGCAATTACAACCGTTGTAACCTCCCCATGGTCACATGATCCAAATTCAGATGCTTGGTAACTGGTACATACTTATGATGGTTGCTGTGTCCCAAGGTCACGTGATGTTCTTACCAAGACTTCCTAGACCATAACTACGCACACGCTTATTTTAAAAACAAGACTTCTTTTATTGCAACACTGGGAATTGTTTTCATTCCCAGCTGGTAATGAATCTCAAACAGTCCCCCGAGATAAGCACCCACCTTTCAGTTCTGTGAAGTGCTGCCAAAAACAGAAGTATCAAAGGAACTAGAAAAGAAACCAACCGAAGTACCAAAAAAAAAAAAACAACAACAACAACCAAAGTACACAGAGCTTCAAGGATGACTTTGAACCGATCAAACTACTTTGCTTCCTGCAAAGGTTTCATCTTCTTGGCCTGTCCTTTATACCTTATGGGAGGGGCAATCACCTCCCAGCCTTACTCCCAAGTTGCTCCTTTTGTCTCAGCTGCTCTCACCTTCTAGCAGCTCTGTGCACACACACACTGGGAACAGGCTCCCCTTGCTCCTCGGCCTCGCTGCTGCCAGACTCCAGAGGCTTTGGAGTCAGCACCCCACTCCCAGATGGTCCTGGCCCCATCCCTACATTGGACGCATGACCCTCGTCTGAGTCCTCTCCAGACTCCTGGACTGGTCCCCGTTCTTCCCCACTTCCGATTCCGCTGCCGGCTGCACTGGCTGCTGGCAAACCACAACACATGATCCCCTCTTGGACTAGAAGACCTCCAAGGTCCCTTCCAACTCTGTTATTCCGTTAAATGGACTTTCTGATCTCATAATATGTTGTATCAACCTCCTTCCTGGTGGTCCCCCTCTTCACTGCATTTCATCACCACAATGCACAAAAACACTAGCTTGTTGTGTGCTTGACAGTTTCCACAAGAAAAATGCCATATAGTTAACAGGAAAATGGATATAGGAAGAGAAGTTGCCATTTTTTTGTGTGAATGCTCTTTGTCACCAAACTGCTCCCGGCTTTTCAGAAGGACTTGATTTGCATTACAACATTTGACAAATCTTCAATCACTCTGATTTAATTCAGGAGTCCTCTGAATCCAAGGCAAAATCGACCCATTTATCAGCTTGAATCCCTTCTTCCAGAATAGGAATGTAATTAAAAGAGATAACTAACTCAATAATGAAGGGGGGAAAACATTCAGCCTTGTGCTCCACAAAGTCTTTGAAGAGATTCTCTTTATATTTACAATTCTGAACCACATACGCTGAGCAACCCAAGCCATCTAAGGTTGCAATCAGAGTTTCTTTTACTTCTTCAGGTTTCATCCCCCATGATGATGATTATTTTTTTTTAAAAAAGCCTTACCTTCGTTTACCGTGCAACTGATAGTAATAATTTCAGGTAGCTTTCTAAAATCAAGCAGTCTTCTGGGCATGTAATGAATCAGTAAACGATAGCATCTTTGCCCATAGACAAAATATAATTCTAGTGGATGCATTTGTGTATTTGCTGGTTCATTCTCTGGTAGCATAAACTGATCTAATTCCCTATCAGATGAAAGATCGCATAAAATGGATTTTCAATTACACCGAGGATGCATGTAGAGGCACATGCAAACTTAGAAAATCACAGGGTTAGTGGAAGCAAGCCATCACTTTTGTACAAATGCTCCTTGATTGATGGGAACATTCGTGGAATTTTCATGCTTTAATCCTTGGCGTGGCAATGAATCCACCTTGCTGTGGGTCATTCCTTTCCTTTCCTTCTATCTTTCCCAGTGCTCCTCTAGAGAGTTAGGTCTTTGCCTAATGGGTCTGAAATGGGATAATCTGAACCTGATCATGTGTACCTCAAGGGACAGTGTTGGGTTGATTTGTTTGAAGATCCAGTTGTTTGTTTCCTTGGCTGTCGATGGTGTTCTCCAGAATCTTCTATAAAATCAGAAGCATCAGTGCCCTTTCTATCCTGCTGGATTAGAACATATCTTCTGGGATTTCCAAATCC